CATCTAACTTTTGCTTGAACTCATCTAACTTGCATATTTTGGAAGACGTGCTACTTTTTAAAGTGGCTGAGTGAACTAACATGTGGAATGTCTAATATGTTGTACTGAATTATTTGCGTTGAGTATCTGTATCCGAACATCTTCAATTCTCATATTTGATAATGCATGTTTTGAAGCTTTTTTTTTCAAAACAATGACGTTATTAATCATTAGTAGATATTATCATCAATGTATGGAGTAATGGATGTCTAAATTTATTGTTCAATGCATTCAAATAAGTAGCAACTCCACTAAATAATGAGTGGTCCGCTGTCATATAAATCGATTGTGTTAATTACGAATAACATTACTTTTTTGAAACTCTCTCAATATAATTTTAGCCTGAAATATTTATTTAGTACGACGAGTATAGTCAGATTGCTAGTCTTTTACTAAACCATTTAGCAAAGTACTCTTCATCATATAACATTGAGAACTGTCCATCGATTCATCCACACACATTTGTATTGTATGACCAATTTTCTATCCAAGCGCTTTAAGACCGCTTTTTCATTAGCCAACTTGTAGAACAATAAATCAAACTTCAATCATAAAGTAGATTGCCATTCAAATTGGCACACTTGTATATTAATATTTAAAGATATCCATATTGGAACTTTTGACCACAACTTTGTGGGAGATTTTGAACTTCTCAAGACTTTCAAAAACATCCGGAACTTAGAACGCATCACTGACTCTGATGAAATTGTTGACTAGAGATGACAATGGGGCGGGGCGACCTCATCCTGCCCAGCCCCATCTTAGGCTAGGAGGGGCGGGGAGGGGCGGGGGCCGTTTCCTGTCCTGTTTATTTTTTTTTTTTTTCAAAAACTTACAATTAATTATTTTTTGTTTTTAATTTGTAGTTAATTATTTTTTTTATTTTTCACGGAACGGGTTCGGGGCGGGCCCGCCCCCACCAACCCGTCAAGGTGGGTTTTTTTTTCCCCATTCTCGGCGGGGCAGCGCCGAGACAGGGAGGGGCGGATTTTTTTACCATCACTAATGTTGACCACTCTCTATAATTCCATGAAATATTAATTGAATAATATATCAGAAAAAATAATTTCTTGTGTGTTAGATTCATTGAACTTGATAACGTTTTGCCATTATTTGGTGGAAATTAAAATCAGATTTTAAGTAAATTTGATTAAAAAAATAATGAAATATATAATTAAAAATTGTGAATCTCATAAATATGTGATCAAAATTTATTACTNTAGTTAATTTTAAAACCAAAAAAAAACATAGCCCGTCAAGCGTTTCAACAAAGTAAAAGACGGGTCCATCCGCCTACCATTCTTGACCAAAGAAAATGTAATGTAATGTGATAAAACGGGGGCCAAACAGGGGCTAAGATTAAACCTTACCAACAGGGGCATGAATATTGGAGAAAGAAAATTGCGTGGTTAAATTTTTATTAATAATATGTACTAATATTGATTATTCACCATAGTAATCGTGTTGTAATTGATGATTTAGTGGTATGGATAGCAAAATGGCTCCCCGGCTCGAGTTGGGTCCCGAAAAAGCTCGAGCCGTGCTAGCTCGTGGCTCGATTGGACCGAGCTTCATTTTGGGACGTCAACTCTAGCCGGCCCGGCCTGTGTGGCTCGACGAGCCGGCCCATGAGCCTAGAAAAAAAATTGCCCTGCATTTATTTTTTAAAATTTTTGAATTTTAATATTAGCTGTAATTTTTTTATATGTTAATATTTAGTCATTATTTATAATACATATAAATTGCACATTTTAAAAAATATTAAATTTTTCATGAATTTAAAAACAAAAAAATTGAGGCTTGGGCCCCGGCCCGACTTGGCTCGCTAAAGCCCCAGCCAAAAGTTCAAGTCGAGCCTAAATTTTTTGGCCGAGCTTTTGTTGGCATGGGGTAAGAAGAAACTTTGGTTCTTTATGACACTAATAAACTAATAAGTGTTTTTAATATATTTGCAATTGATTATATTATTTTATTTTTTTTGTTATTTGCTAGATCATATCGCAACTCCAAGTTAAATTATTATTATTATTATTATTATTATTATTATTGTTGTTGTTGTTGTTGTTGTTGTTGTTGTTGTTGTTGTTGTTGTTGTTATTGTTATTATTATTATTATTGAAGTAAACCAGAAGTAGAAAACTCGTTGATTTGTACAAAAGCATGAATTGTAGTTTTTTGCACAGTTAATCATAATAATAAAGATTTTTTAAAAATGTCTATTATATTTTGTTCGTCTTGTTTAATAATATGAGACCAATGTGTCATTAAACAAATTTTATATTTAAATGAATAATTATATTAATAATCTGCGACTGCAATAATCATCATATGTTGTCTTTTATTTGAGACATTAGTTTCTTAAAATTCTGTTGCCTCAAATAACACTTTAATACTTCTTGCTCTCGTTGATAAAAATGTTTGATCTCTTTCTTCTCTTATGCGATTCTAACACACTATTTCTATTCCATAAGCTTTCTCGGGATCACTCTTCCTTTTTTTTTTTTTTTT